CCGGGCCCGGGCGGCTTCTAAGAACAGCGGACGCTAGGCTCGCTGAGAAAAGGTTTCTGACGTATGTCATATGTGCTGCTAGAGGTGGGGCGTTTTTGTTCGATGTCCCGTTTATGAGGTTCTCTTCTGTTTTCGTTTTCTTTTTTTTTCTGCGGGGCCGCCAACATTGAAGCTTGTCAGGGGGCAGGGTCAGTGGCAATAAGAAAATAAACGGTGACGCCCCCCCCCTCTCTAGCCCAAAATACTCGAGAGGGGAGGCGGGGCAGCGGAAGGGGCGGGGGGCGTTGAGGGGGACAATAAATGAAATACGGCGTCCGAGCAGGTGTCGTGGGCCAGAGTCGCTCGCTGCTGCGGACTGTTGAACCAAACCCAGCCCCTGAGGCAGCGGGCCATCTCTTGGCAGCTGGGCGCGGCGTGGCCTGGCGTGGTTCGTGCCGCGATGAAGGAGGTTGGCCCTTTTTGCCCAGGGCCGGCTTTGGCTGGGTGGCGATGAAGAAGGGGCGATAGCCAGCGCCAGGGCGGCGACGAGCCGAGTCCCTTCTTCGCGGGGTAGAGACGGCCCGTACGGCCAGCATGTAAAACAAACGATCGTTTCATAATCCGAGTTCTCCACAAATTGAATGGCAGCGTCAAAGACAAAGCGTGTGGCGTATGTCACACGCATTACCAGGAGAGTGTAGCCAAATACGTTTGTCGCACATTTGTTATTATTACTGCGCGGTATTTTTGCCGTCACAAGTTTAGTTTGGCGCCGTCAGTCACGTTTTAAAGGCACACGCGCCCGTTTCCTGCGGCACATTGGGGTAATTCGCCCGGGCCGGTCCCGCTTCCTCGTTGAGCCGTCGGTGGACCGCGGCAGACGGGACGGGCGGCGTGGGACGCGTGATGCCCCCTGTGTCATTTGCGCGCGCAATGTACCGCGGACAGGCGACACGGCACGCCCACCCCCCGCGCCGCCGTCGCCGCCACGAGCAATCCGTCAAAATCCATGGGCGGCGCAAAGGGAACAACAAAAAGTAAAAATAAAGAGACGCGTGCTGCGACGGAACGACGTCCGTCTCTTGCGAACCGCGTTTGAATTATGAGCACCAGCGGCTAACTGCAGGTGGCCGCCCCTGATCCATGCAGGAG